ATCTTGAAAAAACAGCTCTCAGCAGGCCGCCCTAGTGCTCTTCCACCACCCCAGTGTTTAGATCCAGGAGAAGAACAGGCTGACGCCTTTCCACTGCGATCGGAGGTAGCACATTGAACGGCTCGGCCTCCTGTTGTCCACCCTTGCAAAAATAGAGCCATCCTCCATCCACCCCAAAGTCACCACGCCGGCCGTGATGCCATCCTTCGGTGGCGGAGCTGTCGTCTCGGTGTCAAACAGTTTCTTCCTCAGTGCAGGATGCTTGCGAACAATCGCCTGAATCGTGCCTTGAGTCACCTTTTGCGTGAAGGTCATAGCGCTACCACTGAGGCGGTCCACATGAAGCTCCGGCATGAGACCAACTGGGAACATCCATCTAAACTCTCGCAACTCCTGCAGCTTCAAGCGGTGGATGAAATCTCCCATTGTTTCTCCAGAGCGGGTTGTGGTTCTGAGTAGGATCTGGAAACACTCTTCACAGAGACGCCAGAGCTTCCAAAGCCTCCTTCCCCCCTTTGAGTGGAAGACAGTGCTCCCGTGCTCGCCACCTCCACCTTGGCATACTTTTCCAAAACCAGCTGACCAACACGATCACCTGAATTGACCACCAAATGCTCAGACCCATTTTTCACCAGGATGATCTTTACCTCACCACGAAAATCAGGATCGATCACTCCCCCAGCCACATCTATGCCTCGAAGAGCCAGTGAGCTTCGGGAGGCGATTCTCCCATAGCACCCTGCAGGCAACTCAAGTGCTAAACCCAAAGAAACCAGCTTCCTCTCTCCTGGAGCAAGTTCAACCTTGTCAGCCGCTGCCAAGTCCCAACCAACAGCCTGCGATGAAGCCATGACCGGAAGAGAAGCTTGGTCACTGAGCAACTTCACCTTCAGCTGTTCTCGACGTCCAAAGACACGCTTCACCAGCTCCCAGCCCAAATCTTTGATGACGCGCAACAAACACACCAAGCCAGCAAGCATCACCAACCACGCCTGGTCAGCCCATGAGCCAGACTCAGCATCGTTCCTGGCCTCCTTTATCTCACACGTCTCACTAGCAGTTGGCCCTGGCAAGAGAGCCGCTCCAGCAGCAAGCAGAGACAATGACTTGAGCATCTTGAGGTTGGTCGAATTGACAACTGGCAAGCGCTCCTCTCGACCCCCTGGTCATCAGACCTGAGCGAAGGATCTCCTAGCCATACTCCCTGACAAAAATGATTCATCACCTGTGCGGGAAGAGATTTTGTCAATCCATCGGCCCACAACGAAGTCCCGATGCGATGAGTGAGAGTTGTCTCTCCCGTCTTCAAAGCTTCAGTCAGGCAGCTGGCTCGGATTCTCAAGTGTCTTGTCCGCCACCCTCCACCGCCAGCACCACCGCAGCGCGGTTGTCATTGTAGAGCTCCAGGTCGACGTTGGCCACGAGCAATTCCACCAATGCCCTCACCGATCTCTCTGACTGCGGCCTTGTTTCTTGGACTCCCACTGCACTGGACACCCAGCAAGGAGAATAATGGTGCCTGACACACTATGGCCATCTCCTGGAGAGAAAGATGCATCGACCAATACCTCCAGTGTGCCTTCACGACGAGGTTGAGCTCTCTGAAGATCTGGGCCAACATCCACTCCACCGTGAAGCGCGGCTTCTTCACCGCATTCTGGGCCATCTTCATTACGGCCCATGAGAGGTCAGGCCGGGTCTTGACCGATAGCCACAAGAGCTCACCAGTCACCTTTTGAGCTTCCCGAACCTTTGGGAGTGACACTGCCTCCTCTTCTTCCTTCTCTTCTGGCACTCGAATGAATGAGTACGCTTGAGCAGCTGGACGCCGGTCGATGACTTCACGGGCATAGCATCCCTGATGGAGAAAATACGAACCATCTTGGAGTCTCTGGATCTCAATGCGCAAGAACCTCATGGAGCTGCCTCCTATGGTAGCATACTCAGGAGGCGAGGTAGACCAACGGCTTTGAATGGTGCTCGACGCGGCCTCTGTGACCTTCTTGGGACCCACCATGCACGTCGTCCACATAAACGATCATGTGGCCAAGCACCCTTCCCCAGACCTTGGTGTCTTTGTCATAGGGCTCAGAGATCTCTTGAATTGCCCACAAGTTGGGATCCTCCATCGGCCGGAAAGAGAAGCTCTGCATCTTGTGGCCTTCTCCTTCATCTCTTTCATGCGCCACCCACCATGTTCTGCAGCTCAGAGTTTCGGAAGGTGCTCCAGTCCTTTGGCGATGTCACCAAGCCATACATAGCTGATGTAACCAGCCAGTGCTCGCCTGGTTGAGCCAGCTGTGCTTCTTCTAATATCTTGGGGGGTTTGGCAATTACTGTCTCACCCTGTGCCTTTGGTGCTAGCAAAAACGCTGACTTGACATCCAGCGACAAGCACTCCCACTGTCGAAGAGCTGCGAGGCGAAGCGTAGATCTCAATTGGGTCGAGTCAGCGCCCGTGGCATAGACTTCGTGCCTCCATGTAGTTTCTGCAGCAGACGATTCTGGATCGTCTTCTCCCATCACCTGCTTTGCGGGTGAAGACTCCCATTCCTGGAATCAGCTCTGCACGCTCACCATTCTTCCGGGCCTCCGCCATGATCTCACAAGTCTGCTCCTCCGTGATCCGCTTGATCGCTCTATTGTTGTCGAAGTTCTCAATCCCTAGCTGTTTAGTCCAACGCTTTAATTCTTTTTTTTTTTTTTGGATATTTGCCTGTTTATACTTGCATATTGCTTCACTAATTATAACTGTAACTGCATAAAGTATACTAAACTAGAAATAGAGATAAAAACAAGTCCAATCCAGGACTCAGGACTAATAGTCAGTGTCAATGTGTCAGTGTCAATTAACAGATGTAAGTGTCATGTCAGTGTCATTTTAATTTGTCAATGTCAATGTCAGGTAAACTACTGTTAAACTTGGGTCAGTGTCAATAAGTTTCCAACCATTGTCATTGTCTGTAATGTGTCATTGTCACGCCGATCAAAGTGATGAGAGTATTCTTCACTAAGTCAGTCAAACTTGAACAATAGAAGTATTTGATTCTGGCTTACGATCTCATCACAAATTTACGTTTCACCCTTTAAGTTTCACAAGCGTCGCCTTCAGCAGAGGAGCCGGGGGGCTCAGTAGTGAACTGCAGCTGCATGACTCTCTGACACTGTCACTGACACATTTGTTGTAAACCTAAATAATTCCAAAGACCCTAAGGTTTGAAGACTTCTGGAAAATTAATTCACTTATTGAATGGTGCCTGGGTAACTTTAACTGCCTTTGAGCTTCTGGATTCTGTATGATTCATGATTGCCGACTAAATTAAATGTTCATGCTTACTATGTTTGACTCACTGAGGCCAGGCCAATCTCCTGAAGGTCCAGATTCAACCATAAGGCACGGACCAAGCTGACTGGGCTTTATGGGCTATAAAACTTTGAGCCAAGCTGACTGGGATGCTGTGTCATCCAGAAGCCAATTGGTTTGACTTTGATTGAAATTATTGTTTTGTGACCTCCTGAGCTGTCTTTTCCAGAGCCCCTTTGATCCAGGGGTTTACCGGACTCTCACTTGGGCCCTTTCAACTGACACCATTTCTAGACTTCCAGATCTTGTCAATGTCTAGCTACTTGCATTTAAACCTTTCCGGACATTTCCGGACTTAAGGTCTGCTTCCGGTGAAATCCTTTCTGGATAGCCCTATGACTCAATGCCTATTTCTGGACTTTTCCGGACTTTTCCGGACTAGGGTCCCAGTCAGCTTAGGCTTGGATTTTGTATGAACGATACCCTCGCCAGAGACCTTTGTGAACCTGGACTGGTTTAGTCTTCTTTCCGGACTTTTCCGGACTGGCCACTCATTATTCTCTGGATTGAGGTTTGTGAGTTACTTGGATTGAGATTTGCTTCAACCAATCAAAGCTTTTCTGAATTTTTACTTGTTTAAAAATCATAAAACTTTAGTCACAGTCAGTCAGCCATTAGATGATTGATCCCGGGACAAGTTCATGTCCTCAACCAGATTTCGGCTGACCAGTGTCCTTCCAAGCCGGCAACTCCATCGAAGGTTCGCCGACGACTGGCTAGCACCAGCTAGCTGCAATCCTCGAGCGCCGCATCGCATGAAAATCTTCATTTGTAGGGGAGGGGAACTGCTGGTTCAACGGATCCCTGGAACATCTGTTGGACACTCATCCATTTTGGTTTAGCTCCTCGGTGGGAAGCCCCTGGGACACCTGATCTGATAGAATTTTTGGGGAAGCATTTGTGCTTTCATCATCAACCCCGGGACTAATGATTAATGAGACCGAATGAGACCTCCCAGACTCCCAGGACCTCCTGTTGATTGTTTGTCTTTGCTTGCAGGCCAAAAGCGCATCACATGCTGCCTTCCACCCAGCCTAGGCGCATTTTGAAGAGTGCTTGTTTGCAAAGACTTAGATTGAAGAGCGCTTTGGAAGATCTTTCCATTTTTATTAGAATCATGAGTGAGTCTTGTCATTGTCAGTCAGTGTCATTGATTGCACAAGCACACTGTTTACTGTCACTTATCCGAAAAAGATGAGTGGTTCATTGATGCATCCATCGGCATTGATTTCGATGGGTCTCAACCAAGCTGTTAGTGATTTCACATGTGCAAATACAAACATATTTTTAAAAAAGGGTTCAAAGAAACGTTTTGAGATATGGTTAAAAAAGCTGGGTGAGTCTGCATTCCTCGCCTTTGCTGGCAGACCATCATTCTGCCTTTTTGCCAAGTGCCCAGCATTGACAAGTATGTCTTGGAGCAATTGGATAGAAAGGAAATAGATGCTGTGTTGCCGGATTCAGTGAGAGCAGTGCCGTAGATGGCTCTTGCAGTACGCTGCCAGGCATGGAGGCAGAGTAATGTCACGCTTGGCGCGCAGTTTCTGCTTTGCAGGCTTGGGGCAGCTGAGTCTGTCATGCTGTTGCAATGCTTTTTGTCTTGTGGCTTGGCCACAGTCGATGCGTAAAACCGAAAGGAGCTAGCTTTACATGACACCAATACGGCCTCAGATGCGGCCAATACAACCTGGTGGCTCTAGCAGTCGGAAGCAGGCAGGTAGCCATAGGGTGTGAAGCCTGGGTATGGCGACCTCATCCAACGCGATGGATTTTGCGGTTGAGGTGATGCAGGGCTTGGAGACGGAGGAGGTTGAGGCTGTCACGGAGACGATCAAGGCTGTGACACTGGAAGGCGGCAGTGAAGAAGCCGCGGCTGTGGAGGCCAACCCGCTTCTGAGGATGATGGAGGAGAAGGGAGGGCTTGATCACATCGCGTGTGGGTCATGCGGGAAGTTCAATAGCCACAGGCGCGTGATCCGTTCTGGGCTGATTTGTTCAGAGAGCATGGTTGATGGCGAGGTCTTCAAGAAGTTCCTCAAGATCTGTTGCCGGTGCTGGCAGCAAGAGAAGAAGCTGGCAACTGGAACATGTGAGTTGGAGGAGGCCTGCAAGGATGTTCTGGAGTTCAACTCAAAGATGCAGACTGAGCGGTCGGACTGCTACAAGAGAGCCAAGGAGGCGGCGGCCAAGAGCCAGGGCAGTGTGCGGGAACAGAGGAAATTGCTGAAGCAGTACTGCCAGAGCTTCATCCAAGCGATCGTTGCCGCCGACCTGTTTGGTGCGCTAGCAAGCGCAGCTGCCAGGTATGAGAAAATCCTTGAGCACCGCAAGAGTTTGGAAGCCAGCCTCATGGCACTTGATCCCAACCTGATGGCAGAGGCCAAGGAACTTTCCCAGATGAAGGATTGGTCTTTGATCTACAGTGTAGACCAAGTTGTGCAGCTCCGCATGGCAGATGACCGGTTTGTCAAGCAGGTGAAGCTTGTTGATGAGAAGATCATGGAGCATGACCTTTTGTATGAGAACGAGGCCCAGGAGACAGTTGGTTTTCCTCTTTTGATTGTTTGTGCTTCCCATACGTAGCCGTAGTAGCTTTTCCTGCTTTGGTGTCTTGCGCCTCCTTGACCAAATGGTTTGACGTTTTTTTGTCTTCTGGTTTCCATGCCTTGCTTTGCGCTTAGGCCTGATTTGACGCATACTAATGGCAATCAGATTCTTTGTTGGGCCTAGATTGTAGAATCGAAAACATGCATGGCAGTGGTCATACTCACTCAGCCGTGTAGCCTTGTGGCGTGAGGCATTTGGAGGTGACCGGGGAACGCAAAAGGTGATGGAGTATGAGGACAGGATTGGTGTCACCAAGCAGGGAGAGCCACTCATGATGTTGTTCTTCATGTGTCCTGGCTGTGGCATCTATATGGGCAGTAAGATGTGGAAGGTGTTCAGGGAGAACCTCATTTGTGGTCAGCGCTGGTATTGCGGCATCAACTGGGCAGAGTTCAATCGGCAACATCCAAAGATGTTTGCGGACCTGCTGACAAGGCATGGGAGCCAACAGAGATTGGAGGAGGCGAATGGGCATCACTTCTGTGGCCGCAGGTACCGACCTTTTGCTCATGGAGCAGCTGCGATCCTTGAATGGAAAGGCTCAGACGGCAAATGGTTTTGCATTCGGCCGATCTTCCCCCTGAGCCGTTGATGATTGAGATCCAGAAGGTCCAGGAGGCTTTCACAACGGCTTGGCAAGAATTGTCTTACCAGGAGTTGTACGACAGCATTCCTCACATGCAGCCGAAGACCAACATTCTGCCTCTTTACCAAGTGCCCGGCATTGGCAAGTATGATTTGGAGGCTCATCGCAAGGCAGCTTCTCCAGTGATGGATCAACAGAAGTGGTGCCAATTGTGCATTGCGGTGGCTGAGCACAAGCCGGAGCTCTTTAAGGACTTGTTCTTGGTGGCAAAGAACTACAAAGCTCCAGTGTGAGGCAGCTAGCCGTGCATCGCGTTGGCAAAGTGAAAGATTTTTTAAAACAGCAGTCGTGTG